GTCACGTGCTGAGACAACAGCCTCACACAGTCACAATTTCATGGGTGTGGGCCATCCTGTTTTGAAATCAAAGCTTAAGAAACATTTCATTAAACTAGAGCAGGGGTGAAGAACATCTCTTCCCCCTTGCCTCTGCCTCTGCAGCTACTGTAGTCCACAACTTCCATTATTCCTGACTACTGACAGTGCTTTCTGGGTCTTATGGGAGTTGTAGTCCAACCATCTCTGGCGGACTGCAGGTTTCCCAGCCCTTGTCTAAATGGCCCTTCATTGCTTCTCATTGATCTAAGTAAGCAACCCTAGAATTATTCCTTCATCTATTTGAGCTCGGAGTGCTGTCAGCCAGTACCAATCATCTTTAAATGGGTGGTTTGCATATAGGTAATAAAACTGTACAATTGAGAAACCCATCCAAGTTCATCATTGCTGTTATTAGCTTCCACCTTCCGTTCCCTTGCTCTTTAGAAAGTGCCTACAGAACAAATTGCTCATGAGACTGGAAATAGGTTGTATACACATTTCACCGAAACAAAATAGCTGGGTAATTTTGCTGTCCTTTCCCCTTTTTTGTTGCAGTCCTGTGGGAACATTTACAAAGGCCTTTCCCAGACTGGTGCTTGGGGCTGTTTTGATGAGTTTAACAGAATTTCTGTTGAAGTCTTGTCAGTGGTGGCTGTACAGGTAAGTAATAAGTAGGAAAGAAGTGTAAGGCAGGGATGTAGCTTGAGAGCTTGGCTGCATTTGGATGTCACACAAAACTATGGTTTGGTGAGACATGAATGAGCCTAACCTCCTCCCGGGCTCTCCTCTCTTCCCTCTTTCATGGTTTTCTGTTTCTGCTTTCAATTAATCATGGTTTATTGCTGTGTCCAGACTGACAAACTGTGGGCAACGTTAACTATGGTTCATTTAAAATAAGCCTACTGCAAACTACAGTTTCTGAAGCAGGCTTGTTAAAACTCACCATAGTAAATCTTAACCACAGTTGCAGTCCAAATAATGTGTCATGCTGTGGATAAAGAAAAGTGGAAGCAAGGGCTTTCAAGCTATTCCTCCTCCTGGCTGCATGGAAAGGAGAGAGAGTGTGCAAGCCTAGAAGGAGGCAAGGCTCCTTTATGTCTTGCTAAACCATATTTTAGTGTGATGCCCAGAAATGGTCACTGTTTTTATGTTATTTATTCTATTTCCACCTTTCCACTGATCAGTCTTCAAGAGAGCTAATGGTAAAAACGGATTAACAATAAAATATAAACACAATCCAGTGGAAAAGGACAACAATGACAAGAGCAGAAAAGCAAGTAACCATCAAAGGCTGGAGAGGACGATGTGGTCTGAAACTGGCATCTAAAACATAAGAGTTATTGCCAAGTTAATCTTTCTTGGGAGGGTATTCCATGAATGGGGCACCACCTCAGAAAAAGCCCTATGCCTGATTGCCACTTACCAAATTTCTTCAAGATAGGGTTACCTGGATCCAGAAGAAGTGGGGGGAGGCTTGGTTTGCTGATTTTAATGTTGCTTTTGTGGTTGTATTATTTGGAAATGCAATTCGGTCCCATTATAAGCATAATTCCTTTTTTATTTCTGTGGAGTTCCAGTGCTTGACAGTTGTTGGGTGAGGTGGGAATTCTGTATATCAGCTTTGCCTGGTTCCAGGTGCAGAACTGGTGTCAAAAATGGACTAAGAACATGGAAGCTGTAGGGTACGGAGAGGAACAGTAGCTGAGGGGCATTTGATCTTGCTGTAGGGATACTCAGTAGAAATAGAGAACATAATGCTTCTTTGGCAGTTGTAGCATAGCTATATGTAAGAGCCAGTGTGGTGTAGTGGTTAAGAGCGGTAGATTCGTAATCTGGGGAACCGGGTTTGCGTCTCTGCTCCTCCATATGCAGCTGCTGGGTGACCTTGGGCTAGTCACACTTCACTGAAGTCTCTCAGCCCCAGTCACCTCACAGAGTGTTTGTTGTCGGGGAGGAAGGGAAAGGAGAATGTTAGCCGCTTTGAGACTCCTTCGGGTAGTGATAAAGCGGGATATCAAATCCAAACTCTTCTATATGCCCCTCCTCCTTTCTGGTTTAGGCAGTGTTATTTGGCAAAGGTATGTACAGTTGCGAAGTGCTGTGTACAGAAGTGCTCTGTGAAAATATGAGGCCTGTTCATTTTAAGTGCTGTGTGTGTAAAAAGCCCACGTAGTGATCATTAGACACTGTTGAGCTTGTTAATGTGCACTGCCCAGGAAAAGATAGAAAAGGGTATTATCTGATTAAAGGAGAAATGGTATCCTCAGACAAGAAGGCCCTAGTCGATTCAACGTTACATGTTTTTTCTCCATCAGTTAGACTACTGAAATAAAATAAGCAGTGCCACTGTAAAGTTATCATCATAGTTTTAAATACAATTTGGAACGTTAATGTGATGGTGGGGAAAGCCCTAATCAGATGCTTATCTTGTCAAGTGTTGAGTGTCTTGTCAAGTGCTGGTTGTGTTTGAAGACAGCTTGTTAATACAGAGATTATCTTGAGCCAGTAAACATGGCGTTGATGATCTGTTTTTCCTCTCAGAAAGCAGCACAACAGGAAAAACATTCTTGACATTAAGCCCTCCAAAGAATAATAGTCAAAACGATGAATCTGTGCTTCAGACGTGCAAGCCGCACAGCAGAACAAAGCAGGCCATAAAGTTAGCAAGTCATGTATGTTGTAGTAGATGTGCTAGTCTTGCTATTAAACATTCAAGGCAGCCACTCGCAAAATCTCACTTAACTTCCAGGTCAATTAAAATTCTACCTTGGATAGCTTAGCATGTATAGATATTGCATTGTTGGCCCAAAGCAGTGGGTGTTCTGTTTTAATTAGCTCTTAGCCTTGAATATATTCCTATGATGTTGGCTACGCAGAGCCATCACACAGGGGGATAAATGTATGCTATAGACATTTTTCCATGGCATGAAGGGTTTTCATTTCTTTTATCCCAGTATCAATGAATCTATATAGCTGCTCCTGCCTCAGCTGGTTTGGAATAGTCCTGGTTTGCAAGGTGGTGATATGTCACAGGCTTCCTCATTCCTGCTTCCATGACCCATCCTAAATTTTGTTCCTGGATTGCATGAGAACTGCTCACATTAACAGTCAGTTTCTGTCAATAGGAGGCAGGGGTCTTTCTGGCCTAAATTTAATGTTCATGCAACCTTCCATGTGGCATGGAAAAAAAGAGGGCGGAGAGAAATTATTCATCCCCCTCTCCCCCATTACAACACTACAACTGGGAGACCACCTGATGAAGTTGGCTGTAGTTTCAGGACAGACAAAAGAAAGTATTTCTTCACCTAAAAGCATAATTCATTTATGGACTTCACTGAAGCAAGAGGTGGAGATGACCACTGACTGAGATGGCTTTAAAAGAGAATTAGATGAATTCATGAAGGGTAGGTCATCAGTTGCTCATTAACCTTGGAATCAAGTGGAAAATCTTCTTCAGAGTCAGTGTGCCTCTGGATACCAGGTGCTGGGGACAAAAAATTAGGGAGGGCTGCTGCTCTTGTGCCCTTCTTCTGGGCTTCCCGGATGCAGTTAGTTAGCCACTGTCTGAAACAGGACTGGAGGAGCCCTAATGGTTTGGCGCAGAAGGGGTCATTTTTCATAGGGGATAAAATTTACACTGACAGAGCCATGGAGCAGCCTTTTTCCCCCCCCTTCATTTTGGAGGGGAAAAAGGGAGTACAGCGGCTCATAAAGATACACTTTGCTCATAATGTGGTAGCAGTTTTAACAGCAATCACTTAAAAAAGATGATGCCAGCCCTCTCAACCCACAGGAGGCATCTTCTTGCTTAGATATGCTGCAGTGTAGATAAATGCTCGATTCTAATATATACCATAATACCACATAGCTTTTTTAGCACACGTTTTATTAAGCACACTTTATAAAAAAAATCCATGGAGCTGGAGAGTGAAAAGCCCCATCTTCTTCCATTTTCAGGTGAAAAGCATACAGGACGCCATAAGGGACAAAAAGCAGAATTTTAATTTCCTCGGTGAAGACATTAAACTAGTTCCTTCTGTTGGCATTTTCATCACCATGAATCCTGGCTATGCCGGTCGTACGGAGCTGCCTGAGAATTTGAAAGCTCTTTTCAGGTAAGATATGGATCAAGTTCCTTTTAGCTTTCGACATTTTAGTATGTTAAAACGTTTGCCTCCTTCTTTCCTGCAAGAGTGTTTTGTGGTAAGTAGCTGTTGTTCCCATTTTATGGAATGTAAACTGAGGTTTTCAGTATACAATCTGGCAGCTTGTCATTGAACTGGAAATTGTACCTGGGACGCCCTGCTCCATACCCAACACTATTCATCATGAGATCTCCCTTTGCCATGTGTATTTTATTCTACTTTGGCAAGGGCAAATGAACCAGACACAGCATTTTCCCTCCAAGGTGTAGCCCAGTGCTTAGTCTTCTGGTTTATGGGTGAAAGTGACCAGCCTGGGCTGCTCTGGAGTACGCAGGCTATATAAGTGACTCATTCAGAGCCTTTCATCCAGGTCCTGACTATGCAAGCACATAAGGCTCTTGCTTCTCTATGTAAATTCCAGGAAACACATAGTTTCGCATAGTATCCCTGAAGTTGTGCTTATGGAGCTGGTGGAGATACTCAGGAAGTCATGTGATTACTATAAGTGGGGCCTGGAACAAAATGGTTCACTGAGTGCTCCTGTTCAGGATCCTCAGTTCCATGCCTAGACAGCCCACAACATTTTGCTGCCTTAGGTGGAGCAGCAAATGCCCCCTCCCAAGGTCAAGGTGCACTTTATCTATGGCCAGCAGAGTTACTTTGGTCCCTGAGGCAGAAAATCCCACAACCAGCTCTTTGGCTGGCTGGCTGTCTGGCTGGCTGGCTGACTGGATGATGATAGGTATAATGAATAAGTAACTAAATAATGTGCCCCTAGATTGTGATGGAGGGTCAGGTGTGTGTGTGTGTGTGTGTGTGTGTGTGTGTGTGTGTGTATAGCTCAGTTGGCTAGAGTGTGGGGCTGACAATGCCAAGGTTGCAGGTTCGGTCCCAGTATGAGACACCTGTATATTCCTGCATTGCAGGGGGCTGGACTCGGCGATCCTCAGGGTTCCTTCAGCTCCATAATTCTGTGATTCTATGCGTGTGATTTTTGTATGGCTGAAATGCACATACACAATGCCTCTTACACAAAAGCAGAACTCTTCATCTGTTGCTTTGCCTGAGGCCCTTGGGGTAAAAATAAAACACCCCCCACCCAATGTCTGGATTAGGACAGTCATGTGCTAGATGGACAAATGGCCTGACCTTGTATAAGACACCTTCCTGCGTGGCTTGGTTACATACACTGAGTTTCTCTCCTAGGCCCTGTGCAATGGTTGTGCCAGACTTCGAGCTGATCTGTGAAATTATGCTGGTGGCAGAAGGATTCATAGAGGCCCGGCTGTTAGCTAGGAAGTTCATCACCCTTTACCAGTTATGCAAAGAACTGCTGTCAAAGCAGGTAGGTTGCATTTCATTAGCTGTTCTCTATCATCCGATATCACACGGTATTGCCATGTTCTACTTTTGTAAACATCTCCATGATGCATCTCATGAACATCTACATCTTCCCTTTTCACAATCAAATATACATTTGTGAACTGCTGCTCTCCATTATTATTTGGCTCCTGCCTGGGATTACATTCCCATGCCAAATGCATGGGATGTGTGGTGGTGGGCTAGTGTGAGTCCTGGTGTTCCTAGACCTGGGATCTTCTACGCACCTCACTGGTTCTCAGGATTTCTGGGTCAGGCCCCTTGGGATTCCACCAACTCACTTCACTTCTTCCACCTGACTGTTTCTGTATTGACTGCTTATTGCCTAGGGAGGCTGTACTTTCAAGTCACTCCAGCACGAAGCTGAGGATCAGAGTTAGAGGGAAGTTAATTTGTGTTCCTTTGATAACATGCTGATATCTGCAGATACACTTCCAGTGTTTGATGTGTAGGCCAAGTAAAAAATACATCGTCCCCTCCTCTCTCTCATTAGGATCACTATGACTGGGGCTTACGTGCAATTAAGTCAGTCCTGGTTGTTGCTGGATCTCTCAAGAGAGGAGACCCAGACCGCCCTGAAGACCAGGTGCTGATGCGCTCTCTTCGGGACTTCAACATCCCTAAGATTGTGACGGATGACATGCCAGTATTCATGGGTCTCATTGGGGACCTCTTTCCTGCTTTGGATGTTCCAAGAAAGCGAGATCTCAGTTTCGAATCTTTCGTGAAGCAAGCTGTGCTGGAACTCAAGCTGCAACCAGAGGACAACTTTGTGCTCAAAGTAAGGTCACGGCTTTCATCTACCCAAGCTTTAGGCTGCAGGAGTCCTCTGGGATCTTCTTTACTTTGTTTCAAATCTGCAATTCTATGCTTCTGTGAAACAGTCTTCTCTGTCTACTGTAAAAAGGAACTTAGCTAAGGGTGTGTGTGCATGAAGGCATCCCTGGTGCATTTTTGTTGCATGTTCAGGTTTTTCACTTTTCGCCTCTTTTGCATGTGTGGGGTACCTTTGGTCCCCCCCAAACTACAACTTCCATCATCCCTGGCCATTGGCTATGCTTGCTGGAGCTGATGGGAGCTGTAGTTCAGCATCATCTGGAGGACCTCAGGTTTCCCACGCCTGTTTTATCATTTGTTCCCTGTTTCCTGTTCTTGGTTTGTGGCCATTCACGCATCACATTGCAAGGGACCTTTCTTTTTCTTCTGATGATGACTGCTTTTGCAGGCCTTGAGAACCATATACATTGTTCTGAATTTACATTATGAGAGCAGCCTGGCATGGTTAGTAAAATGGGACATGGGTACTTTTGTCCACAACGTAGTGGTTTTATCTTGTTGGCTTTTTTGTGTGTAGGTGGTGCAGCTGGAAGAACTCCTGGCAGTTCGGCACTCTGTCTTTGTGGTGGGAAATGCAGGTACAGGCAAGTCACAGGTGCTGAAATCTCTCAACAAGACCTATCACATCATGAAGCGGCGGCCTGTTTGGATGGACCTCAATCCAAAGGCGGTTACCAATGATGAACTCTTTGGCATCATTAATCCTGCTACAAGAGAGTGGAAGGATGGTAAGGGTGTTCTCACATCTTCAAAACCTAGGAAGAGAGACATTTTTCTTGCCACTTGCAATAAATTAAAAATAAAAATAAAATCCAAAAATAATCCAGAATATGTGCTCTGAGAGTTCATTGCAGGTATGAGATTTTTCTCATCACGTTAGAACTTTTCCAGCGTTTTCTCTCGCATGTCTCTAGTGCTTTCTGTTTTCATAGATGAGGCTTTCATGAAAAGTAATAACTCGTGTTTCTCTCTGGTGTGCTGTGCAGTACGGCTGCTATTGTTCTTGCGTACTTTTCTCATCTGAACTTTCTTGCAGACTTCTCCAGAGGCACTTTTGTTTTCTTAATTTCCTTGTATTTCATAAGCACCCCCCCCCCGCATATTATTCAACTTTTTTTGCAAGAAAAATATCTTTGGATATGTAATCTTCGGAATGCATTGTATGGTTCCACACTTTCACTGCCTGGGCCCCCTGAAGTGTAACTATTGCAAGAACTATTTGTGACCTGGAAAGAAGGCAAGGCATGTTTTTTAAAAAATCTAATTTGAGGTGGCAGGGAGAGAGAGAGAACACAGCAGCCCGAGACCTTACCAGGGTATGTTTCCCAGTCCTCTTTCATGGAAGTTGGTCTAGCTTCTGTGCTTCTGTTCAGTTATAGAGTTCCTTGGTCACCCCACAATATCTAAATGGAAATGGCCTTTCCAGAGCTTCCTTGTCTCTTTTCTACCCTCTGAGACATGTGAACTTTGACTTGCTGACGTGCCAGTTCCCTCCCAGGCTTCCTATATAGAGGTTTGGGGCTTCCCCAGCCCCATTTCACTGTTCTTACCCACTGTGTGTGTGTAAGCAGGATAGAATGAACCTTGCGTAATATCTTTGCCCTGGTTCTAACACCCTATTTTCTTTGTGGGATTGTCAAACTCCAGGACCATCTATGGTGCATCAAAACCTTCTGGAGTTTCTGCAGTTCTAATCTTCACTGAAGTATCTCCTCTGTCTATCCCTCCCCTCCACCCCCTTATATCAAGAGATACTGGATGTTATATCTTTTCAGCACTATATAACCATGCCATTGTTCTCAGCGACAAACTCACTAGTATAGGCCAAAGCTTTGTTATCTTCTTGGGTTTGCCAGCTGGCATCCCTGATGTGTCTTATAATTTTAACAAGTGTGAGTGAAAAGCAGCTCAGGAGCATGACTGACTGAGAGCTGGGGTGTGGCTTAGATTTTCAACTGTGGATTATGAGGAGAATATATATACTATTATATTACATTCACTTCTGTGATTAGCAATGAAAATATTGAGGAATCTAACATCATGTACATAATAGTTCCTCATACTCAAAAAAGGCAGTTGGGTTATCTTGGAAATACAAAATATTTGCAAGATACTCTGAAATAAGAAATTTGCTATGGTGCTGAGCTACTTAATATGTGGACCCGTAGACATGGAAATATGTTTAACATTGCATGGTATGCTTGCTTTTACATTGCAGTATGAGAGCAGAGTGTAGGGCAGAACCAAGTACATGCTAAATTTGTAACTTTTTGTTAGTACCTAACTGTTTAAAACAGAGGTACTACAAATCCCATAATCTTTGATTCAGATGTTGTTGAACTACAAACCCCATCATCTTTGATCACTTGCCATACTGGCTGGGACTGGTGGGCATAGTTCAGCCACATCTGGATGGACACACCTTAGCTCCCTTTGGTTTGTACCTGCATTTACGAGGGAAATTTCAGGGAAATTATATTGGACAAATAGGAAAAAGGCAGCCCACTGTGTGCTATGTCTGTCATCTAAACTTCTGAAACTTTTGCTGTGGTTATGTTTTTTCTTTGAAGATGGTGTCATCTTGAGAGGGAGAACAGCAAAGTCATAGTCAAATGCTTTTCATAATCACAGTTCTTCTTTCCCTTTTTGTTCTGAATGGGCTGCCGAGATTTTTTGTTGTTGCTGTTGCTTCTTCTTCCCTGTCCTTAACCATTCTCAGCAGTATTAAGTGGTCTGGGATTATTTTCAATGAGATTATTTGATCACGCTTATGCATTATATCCTGAAGGAGATTCTATTCATACCCTGTTGTTTTCGTAATTATCAAATTTAACTAACTGCATCTAGATTTCGCTTTGCTTGTTCGTATGCAAGCTGAATTAACGACAGCAACAAAAACACTCGTACGTTATTAAAGGGAGCCTGCATAGTCCTCTGAGAATCCCACTCAGTGCCTGTGATCTCTTTAGGATTGTTCTCATCAATTATGCGAGACCTAGCTAATATTACACATGATGGCCCCAAATGGATTGTGCTGGATGGTGATATTGATCCGATGTGGATTGAGTCTCTTAATACTGTCATGGATGATAATAAGGTAAGACACAAGTTTGAGGGCAACAACTGTTCTTGAGTACATAGAATAATCTGTCCTTTGCCAAAAGGCACACGGATGTAAACCATAGGACCAAACTTTCACAACTCTTTTTGTTTCAAGAATCTGAGGGTGGGAACCGTGCAATTTCAGGAACAAAAAACCAAACAAACCTATATCCAGAAAACGTTACCGCTTGGTATTTGTGCAGTCCCCACATATGGTTCCTGCACCTAGTTGAATGCAATTTGGGAATATTGTCCAGGGTAGAGACTTGGGTGTCCTACGCCTTTTGTGAGTTATCAGAAGATTGTTTCCAGAAACTGAAAGGGTCTTTAATGCAGAATGCACACTTTCTTCCTGGGATGTTGGTAGGAGCAGAAGCAACAAGCAAGCCCTCTATTGATTTTTGACATAGTATAAAGAGCGTTTTATATAAGTGGCCTTATTCTCATGCTTTAAATAAATTAGCAGTTGGGAGAAAACTAGAGGAAACCTTTGCAACTCCATATAAAGAGTTTTGGTGTTTCAAGTAAGGTATTGTCCTGTGTTGCATACAATCAGTATGCTTCTGAGAAGTCTCTGCAGATCAC